AGGTAATGTTTAATCCCTGAACCTATTGTAATGAAGTTATCATGTTTATTATAAAGATTGAGAATAGTACATTTTACCTCTATTGGGCTTGTTAATAAGAAAGCGCTCCGATAAAAGATTGTCTGTCGGAAGTGCATGTGCATGATGCAAACTCAGCTTCTGTTATAAATACGGAATCAGGAAGAGACTTATTAATCTCTTGTACGGTTATCATAAACTTCACGATATTTCAAAGTTTATTTGCTGCCCAAATGAGAAATTTGGTCTATACACTATCAAAATTAAGGGCAACTTTAGCATGAGGTTCAATTAAGAATTATTTTCTAATACCAAAGAGTTAAAATGATAGTTCAATTTTTTATGGTATGGCAGGCGGGTAGATAAATACAAATGAATCCTGTAATAACTATTCTGTTTGTTTTTAAAAGAACTAGTTAGAAAAATAAAGTCTCTGCGTTTTTTATTTTATTCTATAAATTCAATTCTCTCATGTTAATGTCAAAAGTATAACTGCTGCCTTTGAATATAAATGATATTTCAATGGACACTAAAGCCATTCATTTGTCCTCTTTTCGAATTGGGATTTAATGTACAGGTGTAATTTTTCACCATTGCAACCGGCCAATTCACGCATTAGTGAAGAATGTGTACAATTTCGAGTCCTTTGTTAAAAATAAACTAAGAACATGAGCAATACAGGACTTAAAGTGAACTAATCCCAAGTTAATCCCACTACGAGGGGCTGCAAGTTTACACTTTATAAGACATCGCTTAGTATCAGCAAAGAGACAAAGTTCAGATTGAGCAACCGAGTTAACTTGTAATAAAGCATTTTTCTAGTTGAAATATAGGATTCAATCATGGATCCCCGGTGACCTTTACAGTTTTATGAGCAATGAGAATCCCGAATTTGATTAATCAGTTTAAGGGTTGGTTATGGTAGGGAACGCTGAGATCAGTTAGGGGAAACTTGATGCTTAATCACAGTAAGTCAAGACCAAACGTGTGCTAAACAGTTATGGTATCTCACCTTCTATCCTGGCCTATTCACATTTCCTATATCCTTCTATCAGGCCTTCCCTGTCACAGTTTTTACCGTGCTTATTCCTAATGTAGTGTCGTGTGCCCCTTCAAGCGGCATTCATGAGATCAAGGAAGGATCTAGGTGGGTTTCTCACCTTGGATGTTTTTCAAAAAAACTCCAGAGCATAAAAAACCATAAGTCACAGAGGGTTAGGGATCTGATAAATAAGAACCATGACAAGAAAGTGCTTAGCTATGGGATAATAAGATAGAGCAAGACCAAGCCAACCCGAACAAATTTTGATGGTTAGACGAGGCGGCGATTGGAGCTAATTGGCTGACAGTAGGTTTTACAAGAGACGTGGTGCATGTGGCAAAGGTGTGACCATTAGACTTACTCTGAGGCTTGAGGCTTGAGGCTTGAGGCTCGAATTAGTCACCCAGGTGCAAGTGATGGACGAATCACGTCTTGAATAGTACAGATGGGGGGGCAGGGTTCGAGTGAAATACATGTACCAGGGAAATAGCAGACGGATTCGACGAGGCAAGAGGGAGACTTTGATAGCACCCAGGGAAGGACTACGTAACAATATGACAGACGCTGGTCGACATTCCCAGGACAAGAGTGAAGGGAGTGATAACGACAGTGTGGATTGTGAAGGGTTTTCATAAATGCCGCTCGAAGGGGCACACAACACTACATTAGGAATAAGCACGGTAAAAATGTTGACAGGGAAGGCATGATAGGAGGATATATGAAATGTGAATAGGCCAGGGCAGAAGGGGAGATACCATAA